AAAGCCCAACCTACCCTGGTTTTGCACTCTAAAGAGTAACTGGAGGGGAAGAGAGGGATTTCAAACAGAAAAATCAACATTTTTTTTTCTTTTCAGGATATCATCCAGTAGGTATCTGCTGGTACACCTGTGCACATCTGACTGACTTGCCAGTTCCACTGCTCACAGCACTTGATTCCAACAGGGCCCTACCTCATGCTGTTAGTGCAGGAAGCTGCTTTGGCACTGCTTGGGCAGTATCCTCAGCTCAGTAATTCCCACTTCCATCTTCCTGGCTAAACTGCATTCCCAATACCATTTGCTACTCATGCTATTTGGTGCCTTTTTTTTTTTTTTAATTATCTCTTACTAGTAAACAGCAGGTGATCAGGGAAGAATCCTAACTACTGTCTTAATTTTAATAGGCAGGAAAATCTACTGACATCTGCAATATCCCAGCTGAACTCACTCAAGAATCTGTGAGTCCTCTGGGTACTGTACACAACAATAAAAAACCACAGAAGTGTTTTACAGTCTCTGTCAAAGGAGAAACAAGAGTCAGGAAACTGCTTTCACCTGGAAGCTTCAGCCCTGACTTGGTTTCTCTGTCACAGCCTCAGAACGTGCCTTTGCCAAAGGGGACTGGACTGGCAATGCAGAGCCAGCTGGATTCTGCAGAGACCTCGAGTCAGAGCTCTCCACTGGAGCCACTGGGGCTGCCTGGGGAACCAAGGGCTTCAGAAGATGGTAAAAGGAGGGTTGGTAAATGACATCACGTGGAGACCAACAGTAGTTTCTTGCCCCAGAGTGCTCTGAAAACTAGGCTGCTCTAATAATCTAACATTTTAAGGCAGCTAAAACAAAGGCTTGCATGATCCCTTAGAAGGATCTCTCCCTGAAGATAATTTTTTCCTCTTCTACCAGTTTCATGCCAGAGTAACTCCACTGACACCAAAAGCATTGCAGCTTTTGTAAACTGTAAATAGGCAAAGAGGACTTTTACACATGGTGTTCGTTGTGTGTCTCTCTAGTCCAATATAAGTAAATAAAGGGAAGAAAAGTAGTATACCTTCTTGCACTTGTCACAAATGCAATAAAAATCAGTAGTACAAAGCTAGCCCAAAATGCTTTTTACCTACAAGATGCAAATCCAGTTCCTTCTCACAAGAGTTGGAAAACAAATGAAGCACACGGACAATGGACATTATTGCCTCATTATCATTCCCTGAATGTCCCAGTTTCAGTGAGCACAGAATTTTAACATTTGTTTGAATGAATTATGACTAATATACACATTTGCTCAAGTTCAGATAAATCTAATCAGATAGTTTATCACTGTATTTCTACCAAGTTAAAATATTTTCATTTCAAGAGCTGCAGAAACAGGACTTCAAAAATTCTGGAGAAAGTAAATTTTAGGCACTAAGTAGAGCTTCAGTGAGATGAACTTTTCTTAGAATCACTTTGCAGCTGTGATCCTTTGACTCCAAGTTTTACACATACAAGTTTGGCATTTAAACTTGGCGTTTAGGAAAACAATATTTAATAATCAAGTAAGTTTTTCAATAGTTGTTACAATAATAAAAAACTCTCCTGTCCCATATCCATAAGGAAATGTTTGCCCTTTCAAAGGAAAAACAAAATAAAATTAATTTAAAAGTAAAGCTACTAAGATTAGCCTGTTACCATCTTCCAGTCATTGCAGAAGGGATGAAACAAAGCTCAGAAATTACAAGAACTACATCAGCCTTGTATTTTGTGCAGAGACAGTGTAAAACTTGGCTGCAGCCGTACTGTGTGCACTGTTCTACCTTCCTTATGTCAAAGCAGCCTAAAAGTCCAGTCATCAGAAGAAGCTGAAAATAATGTTAAAGGTTAATACATAGAGCCCAAATGACTTTCTGAGGCTCATTTTCCTTAGATGTGCCTTTTCTAATGCTACCAAACAATGCCTATACTGTTGGCAGAAAATTCCTTCATCATTTCTGTGCCTCTTGAAGATCTATCTTCTGATGGATGTACAAGGAAAAGAAGATTTCTTTGAGCAAGCTAAAATAGCTCTACTGCTACATGACACCCAGATCATCACTAGATCAGCAGCTCCACTGCTTGATGCACCACCAGGTCCTGCTGCCACCAAGAGAGATTGTGACAGGTTGAAGAAATGGGCTGGCAGGAACCTCAGGAAGTTCAAAGAGGGGAAGCACAAAGTCCTGTCTCTGGTGAGGAGCAAGCCCAGGCACCCACATATGCTGGAAAGCAGGTCAGCAGAAAAGGACCTGCAGGCCCCAGGGGACACCAAACTCGAGTCAGGAACACTCCCTTGCTCTGCTCAAGGCTAATGGTGTCCTGGGCTGCATCAGGCAAAACATCACCAGCAGGTTGAGGGAGGGGATCCTCCCCCTCTCCTCAGTACTGGTGGGGCCATACCTGGAGTGCTGTGTCTGTACAAGAGAGACAGGGACATACTGCAGAGAGTTCAAAAAAATGATGATAAGGGACTGGAGCATCTCTCCCATGAGGAAAGGCTGAGAACGCTGGGACTGTTCAACCTGGAGAAGGCTCAGGGAGGATCTCCTCTATGTGTACAAGTACCTGGAGGGTACAAAGAAGACAGAGCCAGGCTCTTCTCAGGGCTGCCCAGTGACAGGACTAGAGGCAGTGGCCACAAACTGAAACACAGGAGGTTCCCTCAAACAGCAGCAAACACTTTTTCACTCTGAGGGTGACCAAGCACTGGCACAGATTGCCCAGGGAGGTTGTGGAGTCTCCATCCTTGGAAATGTTCAAAGGACACCTGGACACAGTCCTTGCCAACAGGTGCTACACAGCAGTAGCACCTGAGCAGAGCGGGTGGACCAGATGACCTTCAGAGATCCCTTCCAACCTCAACTAGTTTGTGATTAAACTTGAAACTGAGTGCAAAGCAGCCCTACTGCACTGGAGAAGATGGTTTATAGTTTTATATAGCAGTGTTTTAAGTGATTCCTTTCAGTGTGTCTCCATCAGATGCCAAATTTTTGTCTCACTTTTACAACAGCCCTTAACCAGAATGTGAGATAGAAGTCTTAGGTTACTCATCACAACTATCCTTTTATTTATAGCTAATATTCAAATATACAAAATGTTTTAGATTCTGAATATTTCTTCAGCCCTAGGAACTTGCCATCATAGTCCAAATTTTTACAATCCAAACTGTTAGTCTTGGAACCAAAATACTGTATAGTTAGAAAAAGCCCTTTTTGTTAATGGTATCAGGACTAACTAGCTTGGTTCTGACTACTGAAAGCCAGCAAATCATGCTGATGATGCTATAGAAAGAGAGACTTTATAGCTTTTAGGTCGTAGTATCTGAATCTTAATTATGGAACTGCTTAATTTCATCTATTAAATGCATACACAATAAATAAAACCTAACTATGACTGCATGGTTGGTACTCAATTTACAAAAATTAAGATTTTATCCCTAACAAGCAGGGAACTATTTGCAGAGTAAGCGACTACCAGAGTTTGATCAAGGAGATCACTATGTGGACTTGCATTTGTGGGGAGTGTAGTTTATTTGTAAACAGAGCTGCATGATACTCACCATTTTGGTTTACAAATGTAATGCAAGGCATATATTTTAAATTTTATTTCATGTGATCCCTCTGTTCCCAAAAAAATCGTAATGCCTTTATTTTGTTTGCTGAACTGTTATGATCACAGCACAAGTAATAAAAATTAGGAAAATATTTCTTTATAGAAAATGGGGCCCTTTTACTTGAAAAATCAGAAGTTGAAATGATTTTTGGAAAGAAAAAGCCATCTGGTGTGTTTAGATTTAAAAACAAATATTACAATGGCTAGTTTTTGTGCTAAGGAGTATTTCATTTGCCACTAACAATGCTTACTTATCTGCTTAAATGATTTTTATGAAATACTGAAAGCAAATCAAACTCCATAATCTCTTTTTTGCAATGAAAAATATCACAATAGTTCAATGCATTCTGCTTTTAGAACAATGACATAACTGAATAAAATTTTAAATTTTAACAAAAATGGCCCCAACTCTTTCCAAGGCAGGTACTGCTTCTGATGTTAATATCACCATTGATTTTTAAGCTGTGTACCCTTAACAAAGGGACTGTGCATCAGAAGTTCTGACACAATCCCACCAGCAGGGACACTACAATCAAATGGTTGGTACTCAATTCTGCAGTCCAGCTAACTTCACATACAGAGGGTAGATCTTCCATCACATTAATAACATGACAATTTCATTTGCTATAGCAAAAGCCAGGAGAAATAAAAGTGCAATATTACAAATCTCTGCATGTATATTGGACTATTTGTAACACCCTTCTGAGAAGACTCTGAATGCACTAACAATGGTAACTGTAAAAGGTATTAACGCATCCAGAAGTTAAAATTAAATAGCTTTCTGTTCCACACTGAGTGCTACAAATGTGAGCCCTCTAATGAGCATGAAGTATATACCAGGTCAGGACTTTTTATTACTTCAGAAGCCTCACCTAGAGCTGCTTACGATCTTTTAGCTCCAATTCAGACTCTGAAAAGACACAAACACCAACCTGGTTGATGTTTCTAAATAAATATGAGTAACAGAAGAAAAACAAAAGTGCTGAACATATAATCAGATTTTTGTCACATAAAACTACAAAAGTAAAAATGCCTCTATAATACAAATAATTAAAAGATTTGATGAATCTAATGAGCCAGGATCAGATGAAGGTATTAATTGCCATGACATTTTTTAAAAAACTTTGATTGTTTAAAATACTTGAATTCCATAATAATAAATTATACTAAAATGAAAGATATGTTAGCTAATGACCAATACTAGAAAACATGCTGATGGCTCATCACTCAAGACAATTAAAAAGTAGTCCATTTTATAACTCCATGATGTATCAGTCATTAACTGCAATCGTACATGACTGAGAGTAAATCCTAACTATATTTTGGTTTCAAACTGAGTCACAGGAAGGTTGAGAGCACTGCAAAACCAGGAGTGCTCTACTTGAAAATTATTGTTCTTCCAGTTAATGACTGATTTTCCCCACAGTCAAAAGGCTTGATTTCAGAATAACACGTGTCATGATTGTGTTCGTCTGAATACACACTTTAAGGAACCTGAATATTTCATCATTACTGTGGCAAGAAACACTTTTTTTCCTCTTAGTGTGGGGTAATTCTTGTAGCACATAATAGTTACTATGACTGCATTGTACTATGAATTACAACTGCACTAATTTAACAGTGTATAGTTTCATATAATGTGGATGTCTGATTTAAGAATCCACATTAATATTTCATGCATAACATAAGAGCAAGTGACTTTTTGTAGATAAATGATTGTCTCCTATAGCATTCTACCTTTTCACAAAAATCACTGGCATTTTGACTAAGGACATAAGCATTTTTTTCATTTTCCATACTCATAAGCAGGATGTTGATGATGCTGTCACTTTGACAAGAAGTGATTACAAAGTGCTAGTATTATACCCTGGCATTTACTAGACATTAATTCCAAGGATATTTTTAAATATATACATACTGTTCTTTTTACTTTTAAAGTAATTTTATTACTAATCTCTGATATTATAAAACTCTTTTTAACCACTGATAATTTCTAAATACAAAGCTTGTGAAAAGTATGTTCAGTAATCTATAGCCTTTTAAATGAAAGGCAGCAAAAATATTCCTTGTGGCAGAAAAGGTCCTATAGCAGGTCTTTTAGTAGCTGCTTAAATTTTGTCAACATTAGGAAAGAGACAAGGAGAAATCTGTTCAGGAAACTGATAACAAGTTGGAATTACCTGCACAAACCAAAATGCTATTCTTTTAACTTCGTAATTATATGTTTTTTATGAAAATTACTTCGATCCACTGAATTGCATTGTTCCCACTATGGAGATGTGCCAGTTATTTGACCATTATATTCTGCCGTTTCCATTTTGAGAATGTAGGGGATTATGCTGTCAATGGGAACATTTCCAATGAGACCAGTAAAAAACAGTTCCTCGGTAATGCTAGAGCTCATCAGCCTAAGTGCTGGCAGGCGAACTAGGATCCGGGCTAGCCTGAAAAAGAAGTTCAGTGGATTATAAATACATATAAAACCAGCTTAAGATACTTTGTGGCTAAAGACCTGGATCTGCTTTTATTATTACCTTAACTCATAAATGGGGGTAAAGAAGCAATTAAAGGTAATTGGCTGCCACAAAAAAATGGCCACCTTTCTATGCTGCGAGTGAAATGAAAAGCCACCAAGTAGTTTTGTGGTTTGCCAATGAAAGAGACATGTTAATGCCCTTTGTAGGCAGAACATGTATGTACAAACACACAATTCTCTTGGCCTGCTTTTGAAATTCCCAACTCTGGAAGGACAAGGCTGAGACTAATAATATTCACATTGATTAGTGCGAACATTTGCACAATTTTAAGAGTAAAATGCTTAATTAAAATTTCAACCATAAACAGCATAGTACTCAGTTGCCTAGCAACTTCATGCCAAACCAGAGAGCAAGAACAGGACTGAATATATATATAAAAGAAAAGAGAATTGGCTTCTAATGAGAAAAGGAATTTGGGGTGATGTGCTGTTAAGCACACACATATTGCCAAATGCTGTGGGGTTTTATTTACCAGGATGTTAACAGATACCCAATATAACAAAGTGATTGTATTGAGTCGCTGGACTTTCCATGCATATGAAATTAAGGACAGGGATGAAAGCATTTTGCTGTCATTTATATGGCAGATGTACATCATGAATGCCAAATCAAATAAATTTTCTGAACGAGAACCACATAATAGCAAACCTTAGGTAGCACTGACCACAGGTGCTCTGGAAAATGCTTGAATATCTATGGACAAAATACATAAGGTCCATTCTGCTAATATACCATATCTTGTAAACTTTGGGGCAAAACTGAAAAAAGATTCAAGCTATGCTGTTGATTCTGTGAAACTTATAACACTTGTCTTCTATCTCAATTTGTGGCAGTATTCAGTTGCTCAGAAATAATCAGATTTGCTCTCTACACTTGTCTGTGGGTGAGCATGGAGATATAGACACTATCAGTGAAAATAGAGATTACTGCTTGTGGAATGTAACTCTGATTTTCTTCCCTGAGCCATATTAAGAGAAGTAAGTCTGTGGAACAAATTCTGTATTTATTTTTATGGCAACTATCCAGCTCTCACAAATTAAAACAGAATGATTGAATTGTACACAGCAGAACGTGGGATTTGAGGATATTTCTGAGGTAGAGAATCCCATCTTCACTGCACCACACAATGTTAACTCTGTAAGATCAGTGCAGAAACCAGAGAAGCTCTCTTCTTTACAGACAGGTTTGGGTTTTTTTCTTTTTTTTTTCATTACATCACCCTCAGACCTTGCCTAAATGTATGGGATTGCTTCTTTAGATGAGGATACTTTTCACAGGATACACTGTTAGACAGAAGTTAGAATTTGTCTGGTAATGCAAAAAATCATTGTGTTGATGAATTTTGAAACAGTTTTGATGGAGGTTGTTAGAAAATAGGATAATCATTTCTAGCAAATAAGAAACAGAAACAATTGAGAGGCGAAAAAACCAACCTAGATAATTTCAAAGATAAGGCCTTTGAAATTAATAAAAAAAAAAAGAAGCTAAAGGAGAAAATAAGTAGGATGTGGGAATTTCTTACAAACAGAAGCTTAAGAGTTGGTTACTCTTCCCTGTCACATGTAATCCTTGTTTTTCCAAGACCTATAAACTGACAGTTTTAACACTTCTCTGCATATGTAACTTGAAAAACATTTAAAGGATGATAATCAACTTTTAGTCATCAAAGAGTCTTTGAGATAATAACTCAAAAAACAAGGCAGCGTGAACTAACGTTTGAGTCAGCTGAAGCAGTTGTTCTCAAGACTTCTAATAAAGTCTGTTTACTTTTCTAAACATGACAATGAGGCTCAAGGAAACCCCTCAAAAACCAAGAAAATACTCACAAATTAAATTTACATGAAAGAAGCTAGACAGCTGTTCTTGCTTCTACGTATCTTTAAACAAACTTTTTGCTTAACCAAAACCTGCTTGTTTTTATGAATGAGATTCTAGTTCTTTTTCATCAACAGTCAATAAAGCCCCAGATGTCAAAAAGGAAATTTTTTTACATCAATGATGTTATTTGGTACTTTTGTTAGCTACGGCCCACAACATTACTTTGGATACTATAGACAATAAATACCTATAAGTATCTTCTGGATAGGTTTTTTGTACATAGTCCTGCAATTCCATCTGTGCCTTCTCCTGGAATTTTTCTATTTGGGTTGAACTGGTCAGACCAGGATGATCTAAAGAAACAAAACATTTCTGTATGTCGATTGGTTCCCTATACATTGTGAAAGAGATGTACTTATAAGATTCTCACATTTCATTTCAATGATACTCCGAGCTTATGTTTCTAACCTTGTTGGTTTAAATTTAAATGTTTGCCTCTGTGATTTTTTCTAACCATGCTGACTGAGCAATACCTAGGCTTGTTTTCTTGACAAATCAATTTCTTAACCTTCCCAAGTCTGTCTCATGTTTTAATTCCAGCTGGCTCAGCTCCTCAGACAGACAGGTGATCTGAGAAAAAAACCCAAACCCAGAAAATATCATCTATCTTACTATGCCCATGTATCTTCATTGTGTCCAAACTGCTTGTCCCTTGAAATAGGACAGAGCTACCTTTGGAGAGTTTGGAGAGTTTCTCACTTTAACAACTTGAATAAAAACCCTAATAAACCTAATCCTAATGGGACAATCTGCAAAAACAAACAAAAGAAAAGGCAAAAGAACATTTTAGGACACCAATATCTTCTAATAAGTTTTATTACAAAAAGAAAAATAATACTAATGTAAAAAAAACCAAAAAAACCCCAGAAAACATACACACCAATAAGAAGATATCCCTTTCTTTTTTATTTTGTTAAATTCAAAGTGGTAAATACTTTAATAAATAATATACATTTCTGAACAAGTTTCCCTTTCACTCAGCCTGTCAGCAGTTTTAGATTAACCTTTGTGTGTCCTAGAAACATTTTTCCACCTTTGCTGAAAAGACTGTCACTTCCAATTTCTTTAATATCCTTACCTTACCATTCCAGAAAATCAAGTGTCTTCTTTGAGTAAATCCTCATATCTCATAAAAACTTCATTATACTTTAGTTGTCTGCTGTAATTTTTTTGGTAACAAATGGGAGATAGCCTGTTTACATTTAGTTTCAGAGATTTTGTGGAATTTTCATATAAAATAGAGTGGTATTTCTGCTCATATTTCAGCTAGTCCTCTTATGAGAGTATAAAAATTGAAGTAAATTTCTTTTTGTCACTCTGAGAATGTATTTCCTCTAATCCTTCCCACCATTTACTGCACTAATATTGCTACTACATCCCAGATAACTTTTTACTCATAGATTCCCAGATGAAGGTAACTTGAGAGTCTAGTCTTCCAAGTAGATGTACAGGAACACCTGACATATTGGAACTGTAAATAACATGGACATGTTGCTTCAAAGTTATTTTAAAACACATATTGTTTGTGGTAATCATTATGAAACAATCATTTTATCTGCAACTTACCAGATAAGTCTCATCTCAAGACATTAGTCTCATTTAAAAAAATGCTAAAACATTAACATACTAATGCTTATTATTTAAAGAGATATGGTTACTAAATTCCTTACCAGGGCTAAAAAGGACTATAGCTTTAAGGTATGCATATTCATATCCATCAATATCAAGCTTGGCCATGCTGTTACAGAACTCCTGAAGTTTCCAGATGTGTTCCATGACTTGCTTTATTCTGTCTCCAGAAAGTTTATCTGCAAAAAGATATTGCTTACTATTTCATGTGAGCTCAAGGACTTCTGAATATATCAACAAATACACTTTTATAAACCAAGTCAAGCGATACTTTCAAGTCTTTCGCTGTCTTAAAACCACTTAACATATAAAGATGGCCTAAATTATTATGGAAGCAAAGATTTATAAAGTTGAGTCAAACACAGGGTTAGCAAACAGAATGTTAACTCTTCTGCAATTTTGCCAGGATAGCATAATCTGCCACACCAATCTTTTTCCAGTGACGTAACTATCATAGTAGATACCCACAGGTATCTCTGTGAGGTCAGTGCAACAAAATTATAGATCACCAGAGGAAAGGTAATTATGCAAGAGGAGGCTTCACCTTCCCCTCGATCCTGGTGAACAATTTCGCCACTGATTAGGAAACACGTCATGAGAAATGTTATACAAACCTCTGTATTGTTAGCAGAACTGAAAACATACCTTCTTGTATGCTGTTCTGGAGGTGGTTGACAATAGCTCCCAGGATGGTAGACAGGCTCATCACCTGGGCACACTGTGCCAGGCCTAAGGTAAACAGTTCATTCCAGCAGGCACGCACAAGGCTTGTGTTACAGTCTTGCCTGTAAACAGCAGAAAGTCACCTCTAGGTAGTTTGCACATCAGGTTGGTATTACCCTATGTGTAATTATGTTATTTATAACAATTAATAATAAGGATTAATGCATTGCAAAACGTTTTACTAAAAATGCATGTATTAACATATTACTAGTATTTCAGAAAGCAAAAAGAAATTACATACAAACTACAGGAAACCATTTAAGGTTATCTGTGAAATGGTGCTCATCAGTTCTTCAGCAAGATATGAAAAACAACCACTTAATTTTTACAAATTCTTACTTTTGATTTGCCTTTAGTTTCTGTAACCACACAGTAACATCAGATATTGTAGTTATCCTCCCCTCTGCCATCTTCTATTTTATTCTTCAAAACAGAGAATATTGCATAGCCTTCACACAGTTTAAAAATGCATTAAAAACTAAACAATATCGTAACTAAAAAATTCAAAATAGCTGAAAAGTGTTCAGATCAGTGCTTAAATTCATTCGAAAGCAAACCATTCAAACAGGATATGTCCACTTACCCAAGAGCTTGAAATGCAGGTATGGACCTAGCCCAGTGCATAGAGAGGAAAAGGAGTCGTGATGCTGACTCACAGATGTAGTGCACATTAAGGTACTCCGGCATCGGACTGGGCATTGTCAGCTGCAAAAAATACAAGTACAGTACAATATATACAGTTCAGACACCAACCGGTTTTTATTATCGATGAAATAACCAGCAAAAACATTCAAACTACTCTCATAGTCAGTCGCAAGCAACTGTGTGACAAGAAATCATTGAATGAAAACTATGCCAAATAACTCATTACTGTGGGTAAAGAATGCAAATTGGGAATAGGAAGCAAGAAATTCTGTGGGAGAGAGCTCATACATCTTAATGTTAGTAAGATGTTTAAAGAAGCACATACCTTAAATGTGACATGTGTATCTGTAAGTAGGGGTCCTTCCACTTCAATAATTGGTGTTGACTGATCCCTACTGATTACATGAATATTCCCTCCTCCTATAGGATCCATCCCATCTGCCAAGGTATGAGCTGCTGTACCATCTGTGGTATTAAGTGCTTTAGCCAAAGTATCAAATGCCCTTAAAAAATAATAAATAAATAAACTATGAAAAAGCGCTTCCTTACACCGTAAAAAAATTCAGAGTAGTGCTCAAAGTAAACACTACAAAGCATTTCCACTTAGAGGTAACATACACAGGAACTGTTTATGCTAAGACACAAGGTCCAACTTTTCATTACAATCTGGTGCCTCTGTATTCTCTAGATATTAATAAAAGGAATAGATCTGCCCACATATCACTGGTAAGAGATCTCCCCTGTAGGGGAGGATTTACTACTGCAAATCCCACTCTGGTAGTTTTATCCTAGTATTTGTACTAGTAAAGGGGTCTTGTGCTGTGCTGGTTTTGGCTGCGGTAGAGTTAGTTAACTTTCTTCATTGTAGCTAGTGTGGGGTGGTGGTTTGGATTTGTGCTGAAAACCGTGTTGATAATACAGAGGCGTTTTTATTACTACTGAGCAGGGCTTGCACAGTGTAAAGGCCTTTTCTGCTGCTTGTGCCACCCTTCAGTTGAGGAAGCTGGGGGTGCACAAGAAGCTGGGAGAGGACACAGCCGGGACAGGTGACCCCAACTGACCCAAGGGGTATTCCATACTGTATGATGTCATGCTCAGTAAATAAGGTGGGGGGACGTTTGGAGCGATGGCTTTGTCTTCTCAAATAACTGTTCCATGTGATGGGGCCCTGCTGTCCTGGGGATGGCTGAACACCTACTGCCCATGGGAAGCAGGGAATAAATTCCTTTGCTTTGCTTATGTGTGTGGCTTCTGCTTCACCTACTGACCTGTCTTTATCTCAACACATGAGTTTTCTCATTTTCACCCTTCTGATTCCCTCTCTGATCCTACTGGTGGGGGAGTGAGTGAGTAGCTGAGAGGCTTAGTTGTTGTCTGGGCTTTAACAATTCTTTTGCACTTACCGTTCACTATCCTCCCCTTTCTCACCTTCTCACACACTAGGTGAGGGTTACAAACCAGATGTACTCTGGAGAACAGAATCCCTGTCCTTGTCCCTGTTCTTGATATCCAATTTTTTGGAACAGTGAAGAATAATATGGTTCTCTTCTAGACAACATGCCTGAATTTCTTTCCCTTAAGAGGAGATATGGGCAGGCACTCCTGATCCCACAGTACAGTCAGAGCCTTAGAACTCTTATGACAGTAACACGAGAGTCTGGTCCCTGGACTTCTTTATACTCAAGAAAGAGTACGAGGTTGACAAAGTCAAAGTTGTAGTGTCCAGTATTTTTAAATATCAATTCATTCACTTGAAGAATATAAATAAAAGACTTAAAAGCCTTAGTTAAGCTCCTCTTAAAAATCTTCTTTTTGAGAAACATGAGGCCAAGTATTTTTCTTATTTTCCTATACTGCTAAATTCAACCTAACCCCCACTCCCCCACAAAAAAACACCCAACAAAAAACCCCCAGCCATGCAAATCCAAGCTCTGCTGGAAATTTTAATATTTCATTTTCCTTTTTCACATTTTTTTCATTAATAAAGACAACAAAGACTTCAAACTCTTTCTAAACCTATATTACTAGCAGGTTTTTTGGCAGTACAATCTCAAAAATAAATCTGCAGTAATAAATATCCCTAAAGAGCAGGGCTAAGGGCATGAGCATGGCACAGAAGAACCTTACATAAAACATGCCTATGAAATTAAACAGCACTGAAGTGTTGCTATTCTCAGAGTCTTTCACAGTCACAATTAATTTACTTTTCTGAGAATGAAATCTGAGCTAGCTTCAGAACACCGTATTTGTAACACAGGACACAGGTCTTCACAAGAGGACAACAGCCAAACTTGATTTCTAAAGAATCAGTTTCAAAGTAGGGACAATCTGTACTCTGTCTGCTGTCACAAAACCAAATTCCTTCAGTGAATGAGTGTAAGGATACATCAAACAGAACACAAATTGTTAAATAAAATGCAAATATAATGCATACCGTGTAATCTCACTTGTGGATTGCTCTTCTTGCTGAACTTCAGAAGTATCTCCATTATTTAGTGACTCACTGAGATTAGCAAGAGATGTTACAACATTTGCTAGTGTTCCTAAAGCACCCTGGCTTGTTTCAGCCTAAAAAGGAAGAACAATATTAGTAGATCAAAATTATAGTTGATGTATCATATATAAATTCTTCCCATTTTTAATCTTTTTGCATTCTTCCCTTATGTACCTTTTCCTTCCTCCTAAACGCCTACAGGAAGAACAATGGCTTTCAATGATCTTTAAATCCTACTGTAATTATCAATCCTAGTCCCAGAGGAGGTATCATAAGGGAAACTACCTGTGGCTGACCTTTTGCAGAAACACAATTGTGAAAAGAAACCACGTTCCTATTGATCAGTTTATTACCTCCCTTTGTAAAACTCTTTGGACTTATCACGACCTCTTCTCAAGAGCAACAACTATTTAAGTCTACATACAATAGCTAAAATAATCTAAGCAAATTAATATGTGTGTTCAGAACTGAACTGAAAGAGTAATACCTTGGAGTCAGCAGCTAGGAGGACTGTACCATCATCCCTGATCAAAGGCTGCTGAATATTTACAAGCATTCCAGGATCAAGAAGTCCTGCTGACCTGTTCAAAAGCATAAGGCATCTGATTGTCAATAGTATTTTACATTAATCAGAAGAATGTGTAACTACCTATGACTACTAAACAAGTTTTTAAATTAACAGTTTAATGAAGCTCACAGTTTATTCATCAGGACTTCAGTCTTTCTGAAACAGTTTCTAAAAAGTAGTTTGAAAGACAGAAAGACTGAAATATCTTTTCCTTTCCTGTGCAAAAGCAATGACAACTTCCCAAATACGTATCCTCTCATTTGCTTTGTATTCTGGTTTATTCTGCTTTAAGAAAAGTTGTCTTCTCATGCTCTCAGAAGTCACCTAGTAGCTCTCAAGTTATATATTGCACTTCTGCTACATTTTGATCAAACATCCTTTCCCTTTGCTGTATCTAATTTAGGGAGACAGTAGAAAGTCTTTGCAAGAAGTTTATTTGTTACTTAAGTGATGCTCCAAGTCTCCATAATACAATACCAATGCACACAACACAGGTTAAGGCTGCAGCAAGTTATAGTGAATGAGCACAGGCTGCAAATTATCATGCATTATGCAAATCTGAACCCTACATAAATAACAGTTGTACTTAATGATTATAATATTGTTTATAGATCTGTAAGGGATCTGTAGCATAAGGAAGTCTCAAAGAAGCAAATGTATCTGTGAACACTTTTGAATAATCTGACTTGCAAATGAGAACACTGAAAAACCATTCTTAAGAAATTTGCAGCCCAATCTTCTTAACCGCAGTATCACCAATCTTCTTAACTGCAGTGTCATTTGTTCAACAAAGAATATATACATATGAAATTAAACAATTATATATATATGAAAACTGAATATTAAGATCCAATTTTTTAGGTAGTTCTTAACCATTTGTAAACTACAGTTTTAGAAACGTCATATTTAACCTAGAGTTCTTTTTTATTCTATTCAGAAAGAGACAAATCTTGCTTCTGTAGTGATGTGCATTTCCACACCCACCGCCTTTGGAGACAGCTGAGAGCGCAGGAACCATCTTGGAGCATCTCCCACATAGTAAAAGGAAGCTGCTGTTGTTTTGCTGTTGTTGAAAACAATCTCTTGGGATTGGAATCAGCAGTCACTGCACAGTCTCTTTTACTACTGTCTTTAGGAGAAGGAAGCAAGGAAGCCCAAGTCTGCCACTAGCAGATCTGATTTCAGAGAAGAGCTAACCCAAATGCATCACAGAATTAGCCCACATGCTTTTTGCCTGAGTATCATTTACTTGCCCTGCCTTTGCTCTGACCTGGCTGGACAAGAGCCAGCTCTGAAGTGAAAACCGTACACTTATACTCAGACATAAAAACTTCCATGAAAAGCAGAACCTAAATTGGGCTTGGTAATGGAAAAAGATGATGGATTAATTAGAGCTCTTCTCTGTCCAATTCTTTAGAGTAGAGGGGAAACAAAATACATATGTGAATGCGAAGTAATATACACAAATAACCTGGAAGAAGACACGTGCAACTGAGGTACTCACCGCGTCCCATCTTTATCTGCCACAAACGTTGGAGTTGCTATAAGAGGGCTTCGCAGATCCTTTCTTATATAGATTTTTTCAGTAGAAGCTGCACAGTTGGTTGGTTTTTCACGTTGCACATCAAAAGGCTTTCTTTCACTTTGAACCGCTACATAAAGACAAAACCATTCAGATTTGAAAGGAAATAACTCAAATGAAAAATACAAAAAGAAAGGAAAATTCTCACAGTGTACCAGCTGGTGTACCAGCTCAGTGCAAAACTAGAAATTTAATACAAAGAGTGAAGAAACACAGGTTCCAATTTTACTCTGCCTGTGAATGTGTATTTTTAACTAAGAAGGTCACAGACTGATCTTTTGTTTGAAGTTTTGCTGAACTGGAATCAAATCTTGCTATTTTCTTTTGCATTTAGTAAGATGGAGTATTCTACCAATTGTGTTTTCAATTTGTTTAATTATCTGGTTTTTACAGGGAAAGCTATACCTAAACGTTAGCCACATTCCTACTCTGGATGACTCAAAACAATGCAAATCCAGAACGAACCCTGCAAGTTCCGTGAGAGATGCAGGTTAATTCTCTGATAGTCTCTGCATATCATCCATTCATTCCACCCAATTAGGGAACAGTGTTCCAAAACTAACCCTTTCATAATTTATAATATTTCTACTTGATAATTGAAAGAAAATAAGCTCAGTTTCCAATGTGCTGAACAAGTGAGGCAAATTTTTAAAAGAAGTAGTAAGAAGCAGTAACTCTGCAATTTTAAAGAAAAAGTGCATCTTTATAATATAAAAGTACTATTATTAAACATATTACATAAAGTTATCTGAAATCTAAGTCACTGAACTTTACAAACTCTTCTATACCTTGGCATAACACTGGACTGCATTGATTTTTCACCTAAAAATGAGGATGCTAAAATGAATAATAGACTACAAGGAAAATATAAAGAATTTTTAAGTCTTGTATTAATTCTCACAACACTATGCCAATGTAAGGCATAATATAAATGAAGACAATATTTCTGTGCTATTCATTATACCAATTTATCATACAGCAGTGATTGCTCTGGAAGATTAACATTATTAACAGAGAAACAAAAATATGCAACCCTCCTCTATAGCCCTTTTGACTGTAACATTAAAATACATGGATATGTCTCTATCCTCATAACCAGCAAGAGTTATTTAGTTCCTGATTTTATTTTTGTTAATATTTTTACCATTAGCAAAATTTAGGAGCTTAAAAGTAGGTATATCAATTTTGTTGGTTTGGTGGATACATAAATATTAATCAGAAACCTGACCCAAAGCCCAGTAAAGTCAGTGAGTATATACCCTAAAGATATTGGGATAAGAAAGGGTTAGTTTCTGGAACTTCAGCAGTTTCTCTTGTACAAATGTCTTCTCCAATATTCAGTACAGTTTGTGCAAAACAGAACAATCACCACAACAGGTCTGGAGTTCCAAAGCACAAATACAAGTATCTCTTTATTTAAAGTTTAAAGTTCTGCCTCCCTTGAACTTGGTGGTTGGAATTTATCCTGCCTAGATCACATCACAAAATGAGATAATAGGTTTCATGAAGTGCTGAACTGAAGAGGCAGAGGTGCTACAAACTGAAAACAAAATCCATTGACAGAGGCGTTTTGCTGCTAGCGCTGGAAATGTACGAGGCACTGCATACAAACAGGCAAGCGTATTTTCTAGCATATGACAGTTTATACAATGCCTCATAACCCCATACTCACAAATGACCAAATTAACATAAAAATTTAAAAAGCAGGGAAAAAAAAAGACATTAACTACTTTCTATCACCGGTTGAAAAAGCCACAAAATTAAAACCATAAGGAAAGCAGATTCTTGAAGTGGAACATTAGACCTAGATTAATGTCAATTCATATTAAAATATTTTGTATTATATACATACACAGTGTTTTAACATGCATTCTGAGTGAGGCTCTAACTGGGCTCCTCAAAGACTACAGTAGTTTGAAATAGTTTGAAACAAATCACTACTGCACCTCAGACATAAAATGGTGACAAAAGAAAGGTGCTGTAGCTGCTTTGGCTGCCAGAAGTTCTGCTTCCTTCAAGCAACATACACCAAAACGGAGAGAACATACAAAAAGGTGGTAGCCCACATATTTTTTATTTGGTAGGCACAGTATCACATTGAGTACTTAACACTCACATTCCATTTTCATGCCCATCTCTAGACATTTCTTAAGCCTACAAAACTGGCAGCGATTCCGATGGTGTTTATTGATGATACAGTCCTGGTTGCTACGACAACTGTAGGTCAAATTCTTCCTTACACTTCTTTTAAAGAAACCTTTGCACCCCTCACAACTGACAGCACCATAGTGACGACCTAGGAAACATATATATTGTTATCAGATGGAAATTACTTATATTTTAGCATAGAAATATTTATTTTAATCAAGTAAATCATTGTAAGTCACCCTTTAAATTTCTTTTGTATTTGTACAATCATTTTGGACCATGAAAGCATTTATAAAGTCTTACAGGATGTTTCTTGTTTAACTACTGTCAGTTTTTTGCTTAGAGAGTGGAGAAAAGAGAGGAAGGCTAAGCCTATTTCTGAATGTGTGGTCTATAAAGTTGCAGTTCCTGTTCTGGACAAGTACAGATGTAATTCTACTTGCTGTTACAGACTATAGGATATATTTAAAGAACATACAGTCCAAAAGTTCAAGTAATTTCAGAATATAAATAACTTTATAACAAAATTTAAAATGCAATCTTCATTTAGATTTCCTGTACATACCAGTTCTGGTATTGTTTTAATTACATAAACACTTAAAAAATAAAAAAAAGTGAGGTAAAGAGACAGAAGGGTGTCTTCTCTGTAGCATGAAAGTACAGTACATTTCCTTGACTAATACAGAAATGTTACCTCGGGACTCCTTGTAACTGCCTGGATCTGAAACACCAAGGATTCATGTGATCTTTACTTGCCTTTTTCTGTGATAGTAGAAGAACAAAATCTACCAGAAAGCATTAAGCCTGTTAGAGAGCACTAAGAAGTGTTTTCTCAGAGTAGCTAGACTTTTGTAGGTGACAGGTTTATTTCGTGGTTTCCCATCACTGTGCAGAACTTGACTAAATGCTTCAAGGAGTCTTCTTCCATTAGCAGGAGCTATTTAATCATTATTTATCATACGCTCCAGTTGAAGGAAAAGAATAATGTTCTTCCAAGTAGAGTTTCACTATTTTGTGTGTATAAATACAAAGTATGTTATCTTTTTCCATTTAAAAACTCAATTGCTTTTGCCATCAGCATGGCTAAAATCAGTTAAAACACACAAAAAATCATCTCTTCATCCCAGTCATCCTTTCTAGCAACTTTCTTCAATACTATTTTCTATGCTTTCTTACCTGATGCTTTATCGCCACAGACTACACAATATTCTACTACCTGGGGCCGCTGAACATCAGTTTTTCCCAGCAAACGTTCCACTGAAGCAGAGTCTGTCACTATCTAAAGCAAAATTCCAGAACAAAAAGACATAATTAGCCAGACATGAAAGTAAGGAGCTTTGCCTACAGAACAAGATTGGTGTATCAGCTGAGAAGAGGTGACTAAATTTTAGAATTACATATGTAGCATAAAATGCAATTTAATGAGAGGTTTTACTGTCAATGCGGACACTGTTGAAACGGTCATATCAAAACAAATTCCAAATAAAACTGGTGGTTTTGTTGAGTACAAATGAGTCTCCTCACTTGTGCAGCAGTATTTTTCCCTACTTGCAATTGCTGTCAAACAGCTGCTATATTTTAGCCAGAGATGGTTGGCTTTCAGATGATGTTTCCACGTATCCCTTCTCTAGCTATTAGGGGCATGTGGTTCAAAGGGGATAGCCTGAAGCTGAGATTTATTATAGAAACAGTTTAGCTTCCAAAGGCCTTCAATTCCAAAACTTCTGTTCCAAACATTCCACTTAACACAGAAAAATTAAAAAACCCCACCCCTCTACAATGTCAAATATCCTATTTAGCATAGTAAAATAAAATTTAAAAGACTGTTACTAGAATTTTTAAAATATTTACGTACAAATGATTCTTCTTGCTGTAAAATATTCTCTATTGTAACAGTAGCAATAGGGATCATGCACTTCTTTTTTTTTGTTTTTTTTTTTAAGACTGCCAGGAAGAAATCTCAGATTTCACTAGGGGTAGGTAGATTATTGTTTATATCGTTGGCTTTGCAAAGCTCCAGTTGGCCTAGATCATGCTGAAAACCCACAAAAAAGTACAGCAGAGGATAGCTTCTGCTCTAAATAGCTGTTATTGCAGTCTTGATACTGAATGTAAAAGTATGAACTCACATAAGTTTGCTCAGCTGAGTTGTATCTCTCTATATCTGTGAATATTGAACAGACTAAGAAATCCTGTCACTTAAGCACTATCTTAAGTATTTGCTTATGTCTTTGGAACTTGAATTAGAACAGACAATGAGGGGTGATGAGTGCAATAAGGAATGTGAAGACAGAAGAATTTATGATTGAATAATGAAGCCTACAATTAGTATTGTTTAATCCATGTCATCAGATCTTTAGAAAACCATTGCAATTGGTCTTAAAGCAAATACAGACTTAAAAATCTAGAAACCAAGAATCTCAATTAGCATATTTACCTGAATTCTGCCTGGCACAATGTTGTCCGTGGTGGTAAAGATAAGCTGTTTGGCATTAGATGTCTCAGGTGCTGCCAGTATCACCTTTCCGGCACCACTTCCATCTGGACTGGCTAAAATAAACTGTTGCTTTGGAGACACGGCAGAATCCACTGCTGTCACTATTTGAATTTTCTGACCTGTTTGCTGATCTGTCACAATCTGTAAAACACATTAAAGAAATTCATGACTGCAGTAAGCTTTACGTTTTAAAACCTTTAATGCTCTCTCAAAATTATATCCATGAAAAATTACAAGGAAGCTCTCTGATTTTTCTTCATAGATGTCACCAAGGAGATGTTCTCCAGTCATCAACAACATTTACCTATATATTTTATCTAAGATGTTACTCCTTAAAGTTATCAACAAAAGGTGGAATTAGACAGCCTTATTGTTTCATGTGCTGATTCTCAAGATTCTCTTATGGTGGAAGGTTTCTATTTTTGATACAGTTTTCTGGTACCATAATCTCTATTTTACCTGGTAAAGTAACCATATCAACATTCATCAGTATTTCATTAACACTTAACAAGTCCCATCTCATTTGCCACTGCATACATTCTGATACATTAGCGGCATCTTTATATTATGTACCAGTAACAACGACCCACTGTGCAGCATTCTCAAAGGCTAACTTCATGTTAAATAGATTAATCTCCCACTGGCTACTAAATGAGTGGGAGGAGGCATGCCCTTAGAGATGACCTCAGGTGTTCTGTTGACAATGTCTGCCCATTTGCTGTGGCTAGGGCTCAGGAGATTTGTACGTGTAGGCTAGGTTTGATCTCTGTAAACACTCCTCACTGACCACATCATCAATATAACTGTGATACACAGCCAACCAGTCATCACCACATACATGCTGAGGAAGAAAGAGGATTTTAGTTTGCATTAAAAATTATCTGTTCTCACAAAATTTAAGGAAGTATTCCATAGACTTTAGCATGCTTTTGTATAACCCTAAGTGGAAGGAGGAGAAAAAAGGAGAAAATGTAATAGCTAATTAATAGATCTTTACCTGAATGCGTTGTTGTGAAGCTACAGAGGAGTCTGTGGAAATTATCTGGATACGCTGGGAAGGGCTGGTCATCACTGGAGATTCAGATAGCGAAGTCTGAACAGTCTGCACCTGTAAATAATACACAGAATTTTAATCTACTGTAAAGGTATTGAACACTTTTAAAAATACATATATTTATTAAAAAACAGATGGACCTATGGCATGGAATCTAAATTTATTGGAAAGGTTACAATCATTAAATGAACTTGGATTTGTTTTCAATGAATTATCAGAATATTGGGTTTTGGGAAAAAAAATACATTGTATGCAGTAAGGTGTCAAAACCCAGGAAGCTCCACAAGCTGTTTTTATTCAATCCTCTGTTAAATAATCTTGGAATGATTTGTTTATCAAAATCTATACAGCTGGACAACAGGGTAGTATCAATTTAAGTTTGCTTTGAAAAATCTTTTTTTAATATACAGAAAAGTTCATTTTTGATGTAAAAAAAGAAAAAACAGTTTGGACAGCAAGGAACCTGTATTGCAAGTCTCTTTGGGAAAGCAGAGGTGTTAAAATACACGGCACTTAATGAAAACATACCCTTCTACTCTCTTATTGTCTGTACCATAAGCAGTCTGATATAGTATAAAAGTCTAACCTAACTTCAACATACCGTCTCTAATTATCTTTAATACACAGGTCACAAAAGTTGCACGTTAAATGAGGAAAATAAACAGGAGAGATGCAGAAATAGCAGAATCTTCTAATTATTGGATGATTCAAAGCATTCAGCTGCAGAAAACAAGATACCTAGGCAAGAAAAAACCCAAAACTTCCAAAATCAAGACTCTTAGTGGACACATTTAATCAATGATCTTCTTGTCTTTCATGACAAATTATTAACTAAGCTACACGCTCTTTAGAAGGTCTAAATTAGAACAAGAATATATTTTAAAACTGTTTTACAGTTCTTCACCTGCAATTGTAGAAAAGTATCACCACCAATAATTTCATATGCTGAAGTCTATATAAATTAAAAGTGATTTGCCTTAAATGACACAGAAGATCAGAACAAAGCTGAAGAAATATAAAAATACACTTAAAACCATATGTATCTACCCTTTTTATCATTAAATTAAAACCAAGTACTTGGCAATTAGGTGCATTTTGAAGACTAGCAAAATTAAATTTGGCTTCTGTTTCATCTATTAATAATTTTATCATTTCATATATACATATAATTGCATAGTTACCTTATTTTTCCTAATTTTTTGCAGTTTCTACACTTCAGTTGGAATCATATTAAGTTTCCAACAGATAGGTATATACAAAATATATATGTATATATAAAACTGGTAGACTGAAGCTAAGCTTCTCTAGACATTTCATTATTCTTATGTCATTTGAAATAAATAAGGTTTCTTCATGGCCATATAGTTGTTTGCATACTAATTTACTGATTTGCCCATCACATATATATACACATCTGTGTGCGAGTTTGTATGAACATATGTATGTATATAATACATTTCTGTACTTACTAACTAAATTTTCAACACTTTCTGTAGTTTATTTCCCAACCAGCACACTGATTATGAGAGGAATATTTGAGCAATAAATTGAAGGAATAATCAACTGGCCACATTGGGAAGGAATTTTTAAAGTCTCTAATCTTTTCTAACAAGTAGAAAAACATTTCCTATATTCACACCAGTAAAAACCAAAGTAATTGTATTGCTTGAATACACTGGTCTGTTCTCACTAAGTATAAATCAATTTCAGAGATACTGATTTCTAGTCTCTTTCCTATAATATTAATAAAGTAAGGCATAGTTAAGCAAACACAGGCTATTTTTAACTGCACCCATGAAACAGTTAAAGAATTTCAGTAAAAAATACGGTATCAGGTTTTATACCTGCATCTCAAATCAAATCAGAAAGACTTATTTTTCTATAGATATTTTTCCTAGTTACCTTCTTTAGCTATTAAATTAATAACAGACTTTTACAAAAAAATGTATATTCAAATATATTTCTTTCACAGAAGTAAGATATATCTAAAAATGTTTCAGTGATTCTCTTTGGAGAAGAGAATATTCTGACCACTAAGGTCTTTTCTAGAATGGTAGATAAAATTCAATTCCCCATAGAAGAGCTCTAGTTTAACTGCCCTAGCAGGATGGCACTGCAAGATCTTGTGTAAGACATACAAAGGCAACAGTCACGGAAGAAACTGCAGCTGGCATATCCACATCCTAAGAAAATCTCAGACTGTGTCTTATGGACCACCCCAACACCTCTGTTACACCAGTGGCTCTGCCACTTCTGGTAACAGCCTTGAATTCAGAGGCTGCCAAACTGCCTAAGCCAGGGAGGAGCTCCTTATTCCCATATGCACTTTCTAAGAAATACCTCCCGGGCTGATGGTATGTCCAGGTCTTTTACACTTAACAGTAAATTGAGAAAAGCTGTATTTGAACTAAAAATCGTTTGAGAAGACTTTGCATTAAAACTCCACCTTGAAGATTCATCCAGAAATGAGAAAGTGGTCAAAGATAGTAATAAAATATTAAACAAAAATTGCCTTATTTTACACTTCATCAATTCTTAAACCGAAGTAAAACCTTATTCCATCAGAACAGCAGTGTTTCTACTCTCCTATTCCAGTACACTGTGCTTCATCTGAATTGCTGAACTACTTACTGATGTAACACGTCAGAGATATCTGAAGGAGGGTCAAGAAAATACTTCATGGGACCAAGATATCCAGTATTTTTTGAGTTCCATGGTAAAACATTCTTTCAAAAAGGTTCCGTATTTTGATAGGTTCTTATCAGGACACTGAGAGAACTGAAAGCAACTAAAAATTCTCCAACAGTGCAGCTGTCATTAACAAGATCCAGGAAGCACAGGGCTCACTAGTCACCTTCTGTGACTCTAGGGCCTCTGACAGGGAAAAAGGATGCACTGGGAACAGTTTGTGGCTGTCATGGAGCCAGCATGGACAGTTTTAGCAACTACTAAAAATTCTTCCTGGTCACATCAGAGCTGCTGTTGGAAAGAGGAAACAGTCATTATTCCTCCCCACAGTGACAGCTCTGTTTAAAAGATTTGCATTAAAATCTAAGGTACTACACAAGGAACGCATTTCCACTTCAAAACTAAATACATTTTTCTTAATATTCAAGTCAAACCTAAGTCAGTGGTGGGACTGAACCCGAGTCATTGACATATTGCACAGTACTAAACAAATACTTGAGAAAAGCAGCATTACTTATTTTTGCATTAAGGCTAAAGTACTTTTCCTGCTTTTCAAAAGCTGTTTAGGATGAGGAGGAATTGCTGAAATTCCCTCCGAATCCCGTAGCTGCTCTCTGTTCTCCAGTCTCATGAAATGTAAGTAAAGGTAACTGCAGACACTACTCACCCCCAACCTGTTCAGAAATACAGAGTTTTGTATTTCTGTGTATTTTGACAACGCTTTCCATAAAGAAATTCTTCTGGATGTCCACAGAAATACACAGTTGCAAAAATTCAACAAACAACACTGATATAAAGCAGAAGCAAGCAACAGCACTGAAACCATTTGAAGCAATTACAAGGACAATTTTAAAAAGTCGTTAAAATAAAGTACAAAACTACATGCACTACTGGAGCACGCTCAGCAACTTCTGTGGTACATTCAGTTTCATTGAAAACAAATCTGATGAACTATTGCTCAAGAAAGTGAAACAACATAGAGCCTTACTTGCACCACAGTCTGATTTGGTGCTTGACATCACAGTTCTCAATAAACCCCGGCACTATGTTTGTTGGCAATTATGTGGAAAAAATTATGCAGATACAGCTAAAGCTGTCGATATTTGGATTGGGTTATCCTGTTTGCCACTTGCCTCTCAGTTCATAACTTGAAATTCAGTGCATGATCAATGATGCTCTTCTTCCATTTAATTTTCATCAATGAAAAATATGGTATTCTGAAAACCTCTCATTTTTTAAGGCCAGTGCCAAGTTTGATTCTAAAGAAACAGTAAGTACAATATAGAATTTTATCACACGTCACGAAAACTAGTGATGTATTTACCTGTATTAAAACCTGTATCTGATGGAAGAAACAAACAGCAGGCAGCCAGCCATTCATAAAAAACGTGATTCAACATTTACATGGTCCTAGTATTAATGAATTCTTAATGAGATAATGCTGCTTACAACTGTTTTCCCATGTACAAAGTTTTCATGGTGTTATGTAGTGGACAGGCATATAATTTAAGGAGTAGCTGAATACCATAAAGAGACGAAGCCCTCTATTTACCCACCGGCCAGGAAGAAATCACAGAGCTTCATACACTCTTGAGATGGAGCGATCTCTCCAGTGGCAAGATACAACCATCACACTATGTTACCACGGTGCATTTCCTGCACGAGGAATTACAAATGTCACATATTTTATGTGTTTGAGATGTTATTATAGCACCCAAGTTCTACCAATATAGGATAAGGTTTGCCAGTATTTCCATTACAGGTTTCTATTTCCAAGTATGTTTGGAAGTGTTTTTAAAAAATGCAGCTTGCCAAATTGATACCTGGTACAGAAAACTAGAGTGATAAATCTCCTGTTGGTTTTCAGCGTGAAACTCACGGAACTTTTTGTAACTACTCCTTCGATGTTACTTCCAGGACACACTAAAAAGAACCAAATTTTAACAAAAAAAAATAGTTCTAAGTAGGGAATCTTGAATCCACTGCTGAAAACAGAATCAAACTTGTATTTCTTTCTTATATAGGGCTTGTTCTTGAACTAAAAGTATTTTTTAATATCCAGGTGTAATAGCACAATAGATGAAAAATAGTACAATACTACAATAGATGAAAGAAACCTCCAAACTCCTGTCTGAAAAGTGGCCTTATCTAGAGAGATCTCTCAGCCCACTTGCACTGAGCTATATATTAAATCCCTTAATTACGTAAACATATGAAAAATCACAGTATTTGAAGGTTATTAAACAAAATAATTTTAATCAGACAAATGATCTAGTTTATTTTTTGACTGAAGTTTGCATGGTGAAGGAGATAAACGGGTTATTTTCTATGACCGTGAACACTTATAGTTTGTGTTTATTAGTTGATTTAAACATTTTAGCTGTTGAGCATCCAAGCTTCAGTGAATATACATCAAGACATCACCTAATATCACTTAAAGTACATTTCATGCTCTTTTTTCTTACATGTGTAGGCAGAAAATATAAAACCTGATTTAAATTAATCACCCTACTGTAAATTGAATACAGTGCATAAGTAAAACAGGCAACTTCAAACACTGTGGTGGATTCAGATTACAACTCAAATGAGAAGCAGAAACCTTTCATGTCCAAAATGGTCAATCTAATGATCAAATGATGAGAAATTTCATTGTATTAGTCTTTTTAACAATTCACAATACAGTCAAGTTTCTCTATAGTTCATGCTGAATTTCCTACTTGCATTCCTAATATGGGGGCCACCACAATGAAGTTAGGTGAACAAAACACATATTGGTGGCACTGGTTTCATATTTGTCCCCAAGTGTAAAGCAATCCTGCTCTATAGAGGTTTTCTGTTCCATTTATGATGCTTAATTGTGAACAGCAGGGACTCCCTAATATGTTTTTAATTTCAAAATCTCATATACCAACTGTTGTGATATTATCTGTCACTCACCTCAGCCACCTGCTGAGTCTCCACTACCTGCTGAGCCAGCACCTCCATATTGGTTGCCATGGTGAAACAAGATCATTAGAGAACCTGTTTGGAAAGACGCCAGCAACTTCCATCAGGCACAAAAGTCAGGGATTTTTCTTACTATTAAAGAAAGCTCTGAGATGAATTTTTGGTAATTTACAGTTCTGCTTGATGCATCTGGCAAATAAGCCAAGGTGCCATGGATGCGTGTGTGTGACTACATACGTGTGCACACATACGTGTGTGGGACGTGCACACTGCAACCGTGCCGTTCAAACACCGGGGGCACAGAGTTATACCCTTACTCTATAAAGACTCTAACATACTATTTCCACTCTATTATTTAGGCAGTAAAGAAGAGATGGTAATTTCATAAATGAGAAAGGACTAATTTGAGTGTCAACTACTGATGCAGTTTGTGGAGTTCATAAATCTCTAAGGCACTTTCCTCAGCTCAAGAAGGATAAACCTTACAGTTAAACGGTTTCTACACCCCACACTGAACACGGGACAACAAGCTAAGAATGCTGTTTTGCACAAAATTTTATCAAGTCATTCCATCAAATTGCCATGTTCATTCATATTCTTAGTGTAATCTTGCACAATAAGAGAAATAAACTGTCACATCTAAAATGTACTTTCCATTATCTAAACTATTTTTTTATTATAATGTGATGGTATTATCACTTTGAGAAAAAAATACTGCACAATCATTTTATCCTATTCTGAGTGACTGCACACTGAACTTTACAGCCTTTGGGGTTAAAAAAAATAAAAAAGCAAAGCAATCAAGGATAAAGAAACAAGAAAAACCACTTCCTATATATTTTTAATTATCATTATTAGGGCTGTGTTTCTCCCAAGGTAAATTTAAATAACATTTCCAAACAATTAATTCACTTTTTAATTGTGATTTGCTCATTACAGGGCCAGATTTCAGATTCTGACCCAGGTGTAGGCAATGAAATGACATTCCTGAATGCTGGCCCATTTGATGTTTTGTTGAAAACCTCTGTTTGTATCTCCAAAGCAATCATTTAATATAAAATTTAAAAATACTGCAAACAATAGCAAAATGTAACAGAAAAATGCATTTCCCTATGGAAACTATTTATGCTAGTTTTTCCTACAGCTTGTCATTTTTTATTCAAGTGTTCAACTTACACATTAATATTATGAACCTTTTCCACCAAACCCAGTTTGTGAATGGTTTCTCAGTTGTTCAGTAATTCCTTTTCAGTGTCTTCTCTTTTCTTAAATTATTTTATATTCAGCAAGAATGATAACCATATGGTCATAACGTTATTTTCTCAATGCTTTAAGATGAAAGAAACCCTGCAGATATTTTGTTCATAAAAGTACCTTTCTGAGACACAAAGAAGTCTTTCCTGAGGTATGGTTTTGACAGATGTGCTGGTGGTGGTGTTATCCACTAAGGCTTTTTGTACTTTCGACCCTTCCGAAAGAGCCTTAAACTGAGGCTATTAAGCTGATTCGATTTAAGCCCAGAGACAGCACACAGCCATACCAAGCTTCTTAATGGTGTCGACTCCCAGAAGGCAAAATCAGCTTCTCAGCGAAAGCCTTGAGAAGCAGTTTGTAAGGCAACAACGAAAAAAAATCCCCCAAACAAACCAACAAGAGGTGCAACCTAAAATCTGCAAGGAAGCACATGGAGCACCAGGAAATTATTTTCAATGTAGCAGTGTGGCAGCCAGCTCAGTGGTGAGGTACTGCTGTCCAAAACACGGTGTAAATCCATTAATCTCTCCCTAAGATGCAGTGAAACCTCAGAAGTCATAAACTCCATTTGAGATATTCTACGGGTACAGCCCAACCATGATGACATGGCAACAGGCCAAATTCAAGATTAATGAAATTTGCTCCTTTGTCTTAAGTTAACGAGCTCGACCCGGCTACATCGGCGGGACAGGAGGGGCGCGGGTGCGGCTCTGCCGGAAGTCTCTGGTACGTTGTTCTGGCGGCCAGGACACAACCGGCACCCCAGAACACAATGAACACCCCCGGACCTGGCAGGGACACGACGGGCACCCCGCGATCCGGTGGTGCCTTGACAGGCACCCCCTGTCCTGGTAGGGACGCGACGGACAGCTTGGAACGCCACGGGCACCCCCAGGGCCGGCGGGGACTCCAGGGGCAGCCCAGCCCGTCCCCGAGCCCCGCGGGCAGGGCGGGCCCAGCCCCGCGCCGCCCGCCGCAGCAAGGCCGCGTCCAGCTCCCGCCCCGCGCGCCTCAGCCCCGCCCCCCGGCCCGACCAATGACCTCATGGCAGGCGCAGCGCTCCCCTACACGGCGCCCATTGGCCGAGCGAGCCGCCTGTAATGGCGGCGGCACCGCCCCCCGAGCGCAAGAAGAACCTCCCGGGGACGCGCTGAGCACAAGATGGCGGTGCTGGCCTCCCGCCAGGGCCCAGGCGGGGCTGCTGCTGCCGCCATTAGGCCCCTTCCCCTCCCCTCCGGTATAGCCTTGTGTCAGGCTATGGGAGGCCTGAGCATGGCAGTGAGGAAGCAGCCGGTAAGATGGCGGCGGTCTCAGCCCCGTATGCAAAGTACCCACCGCCCCCTCCCCTCCGCCCTCCCGGTGGCAAAGGTAAAAGGGTCGGGTTCAAGCCGCCGCCTCCGCCCGCTCAGACTCCATCTTCTCTCTCTGTGTGTTCGTGTCCCGCGATCATCGCCGCGACCATCGCCCCTGCAACCCCCCGGACAGCAGACTGCGCTCACCGCGACCGGACCGGCTCCGACATCAGCCGGCCCACACTGCAGCACAGCGGCTCCGCCACGGGACTGCCCGCCGATCGACCCAGCACGCCGCAACGGTCCTTTCCTCTCCTCTCTCTCTCTCTCCAGGAGCTGTAGGCTAGCCCAGAGCACGGCTGGTGCTCGCTTATCAGCCAAATATCGGAGGCGTGCAATCCCCCTCCCCTAAACCCACCGTCACCCCTCCCCTCCCCTCGCTGGGGTGTCCCGAGCAGGGCCCGCTGCCGCCTCCCCGCGCCCCCTCCCTCCTCATGGCCCTCACGAAACAAACCCACCCGGGCCGCCTCAATTTTAAAAAATGTTTTTTACCTCAGGAATGGGCGCCAAAGGTGCAGTGGCGGTGACCCGGGCGGGCCGGTGCTGTGGCGGTGCCCAGCAGCGGCCCTCCCTCCCCCCGCGGGGGCGGCGAGGGGCTGTGGGGCCCGCGGAGGGGAGGGAGCCGGGGCTGTGTTGGGCCGGGGGTGTTTTGTTGTGTGTGCCGTGCCGTGCCCTGTGACAGGTCAGAGTTCGTGACCCCGCCGTCGCCGCCCGGGAGCGCGTCCCCGCTTCCTCTTCCAGCGCCCGCCCTGCCGCGGCCCCTCCATCCCCCGCGGGGCGGGGCTGGCGGCGGGGAGGGGCTACCGGGCTACCTGGGCCGCCCGAGCCCCGCACCGCTCGGTCCGGGCCTGGCTCCCGGGGCAGTGCAGGGAGGAGCTCGGCCCCTGGGCCAGCGACGGGAAGGAACGGCCCCCGCCTTTGTCCGTCCCGCTTGGAAAGCTTCTCGGGAGCCGGCAGCCCGAGGTAATGGGTTGGCGGTGGCTGTTCCGTGTGCCGGTGGTGCTGGTATTCCACGTGTACCTTGGTTTTCGCTGAGGGTGCAGTGAAAGGCAGGCTCGCAGTCGAGGGAGGCTCTCACAAACGCCACCGCCGGATTGTACCGAGTTCTTATTTCATTTTCTAAAGTCAGTGTCATTGATTAGGTGAAGCTGGCCGTGAGTCTTGTTCTGCCCCTGAATGCTCAGTGGCAAGCCAGGCTTGAGTGAGGGATTGTTTGTTTGTTTTTCTTAGAAGTGGCTACTTGGGGCAAGGATATGAGAAATAAAGAAGTACACCTATGAATTACAGCCTGACTGCTACAGAATGGGACTTAGCAAAGCACATGATGTACAGATGTCTTTGCAATACATAAATAAAGGAAAATGTCTCAGTGTCTTGGGTGTTCACTACTGTAATGTTAAATACATGAAGAATTTTCAAATTCTCAAAATATCTATATGCCTTTAGAAGCAGGTTTTTTTAACTTCGTAAAGCATACCACTAAAGGGTGTGACAATGAAAGAAGGGAAAATGCTGAAGCCAGATGTGAAATGCTGCTTTCCCCCTCAGGTGCTTCCTGATGGGCAAGTTGAGGAAAAGTTTAGGGGACAGGAGTTGTCTCCTCATTCTTCCTTGTTTGTGCCACCAAGAGAAGGCCTTGGAGCAGTTTTATTCTCAGCTCTGGTGGAGTGCAGTCCTGCTTGATGTGCAGCTCCACTGTGCTCACTGAGACTGGCAACACTAAGTGCAGTCAGGAAAGCTGCATCAAAAAAGCTGTGACAAACTTTGCTGCAGTGTTTGTGATAATTTCAGTGATATGTAGAACTACACTGTATGCCCTGAACTTGTTTAATAAGCAAGATTGTATTAGATAATGCTGAAGTTTCCTAAATTTATATACACTGACTTCTAAAAGAGCATTAATAAAAAGTGTTTGTATAGCCATTTTTGGCCTTAGCTATGACTGAAGAGAAATAAAATTAATAGAAGATGCTGAAGGTGAAAAAGATCGAAGAAAACTGAGATAGTCTACAAGTAAAGGTTAATAACTAGACTGGCAGCAAAGAAAATTATTATATCTGTCTACCACACTGTTGTGAGCTGACCATGGATTGCAGCCAGATGCTGACCCGGTCACTCGCTGCCCCCTCCAGAACAGGACAGGGGGAGAAAAAGCTCATCGGTCAAGATAAAGACGGATCACTTACCAATTGCTGTCATGGGCAGAATAGATCTGTCTTGGGAAAAATGCATTTAACTGACTGCCAGTGAAAAGAGATGTGAATAGTGAGAAAGCCAAAAATTAAACCACCACCTTCCCCAGCCACCCGTTTCTGCCAGGCGCGATTTCACACACGCACCCCCTCCCCGCCTCGGAGCGGCGCTCGGGAGATGGGGGATCCCAGCCAGCACAGACCACCTCCTGCCTGCCCTCCTGCTCCTCACCTTGTGCCCTGCTCACCGAGGGCTCCTGGCCTTGGGCCGCAGTTCCTGCCAGGAGCGCGGGCTGCACCGACGGCTCCTCTCCTCAGGGCTCCGCCGAGGGCTTCTCCGGGGACTCCTCTCCTCAGGGCTCCTCTCCTCATGGAGCGCGGGCTCCATCGAGGGCCTCTCTCCTTCGGGCCGCAGTTCCTGCCGATAAGGATTAAATTGCTCCCAGCCATAGTGGAGAAGGGATTTTTCTGGTGTTCATTTTCAAACGCACTTGATGATAACAGGGACCTTTTAGCTCCTCCCTTTGTGGGATAGTTGCCTGAGAAGAAAAAATGTGCCGCAAAATTGTCATGCAAGAAGAGGAGGGAAGAGACCCCGTGGAAGTTGCACGCTGCTCAGGAGAACAGGCTGAATTCCCCACAGAGCAGAGGTGAGATGTGCATACTTACGGAGAGGGAAGGAGGTTTTAGGTGTGGAAGGAGAGAACTGCTGCAGGAGTACTAATGGCATAGCCAAAGCCGCCTCTCTGGTGGTGATGGCAGTAAAAGTACATAATGGGCTAAGTCAGGGCAGGCCAAATACTACAAAATAAGAATAGGATTTAAGGTTGCTCATGGGTTTTAAATTTTTGGGATATTGCAGGTAATTGGATAATTAGGATTGGTATTGTAGAGCTTTGTTGTTTGGGTTTTTTTTAAGTTCTCATTTCGGGTGCTTAAAATTTTCATAGAATTTTCTGGAAACTTGATGTAAATTTTAAGAGCAAAACTGATACCTAGCATGGAAGAAATCAACAGTTATAAGTGACTGACAAGGTTTTAACTGTATAAACTGGTCTTGCTAATGTCACATTCAATTTAAATCTCTCTTTTAAGTGTTAGTAGACGATTTTTGAAGTATGAGTCCTCATGCCTTGCTTTTTTGTACGTGGCTGGGCAGTGCTGAGGGACGCTGGTGACCTCCATCCTGTGGGTTTTGCCATCATGTCTCTATGTTCATCTCTTAGCAAAAATGACCTTGCTGTCTGATATAGGCTTTTCAACTGCAGAAAAATATCACTATATAGAACCATTAAGGTTGGAAAAGACCTCCAAGGTCATCAAGTCCAACCTTTGACCTCATAACACCATACCCTGGAGTCTAGAAACTTTCTTGTAAAACTTGATCAAAAGTGGTGTCACAGTGTTACCCAGGCTGAAGAATTGCACTGCTTTTAATACACAGAAGTTCGTATCTTATGTTCCCAAGTAACTTGTGGAGTTAAAGTGGTGTTTTTCCCCTAGTATTTAAGGGAATACCTTTCCCCCCTCGCTGAGTATTGGCACTTTCTTTTACCTTTACAAGCAGTGATATTCACTGAACATGGTTAGAGCCGAAGTAGTCGTTATTACTTTTGTATCAAAGTAGCATGCAAACAGGAAAAGCCTGGTTGGTATTCATAGCTGTAATCGTAAAAGCAGCAGAGAATCAGCTCAGGAAGGGCAGCAGTCCCAGGGCTTGACCAGCAGTGCTTATATAAGTGGCACAGAATCTTGTCAGGTTGGTATTCTCCATCTCTGAATGACTTGTATTTTGGAAAAATAATTTAATAACTTTAAAAAACAGATTTTAACTAGGCATATGCTGTAAAATAGGTCCAAATATTAGTTGCACCTAATGGCTAATAACTTTAATGCTTTTTAATAAGTAGAAAAATAAACAGAAAAACTCTGAAACAACAAATGAGGGCAGCTTGCATCTCAGCTATTGGCCAAACAGCTAGTTCATTGTGATCTATTACTGAATTTTTTTTGAAACATTTATGAAGGTGTGGAACAAAGTTTTCATTGTGGAAGAGTAATACTAACTACAAATTAGTAGGAAAGAGCTGTGTAAGTAAATGGCAGGTAGTAAACTGAATATATATATCTATTTTAAGAAGTTAACATTTTCTAAAAGGTGATTACTGGAATAATTCTGAAACGATGATAATTTCTGTCTCTGGTGCTTAGCTTTGCTCAAATTTAGTTCACAGTTGGACTGAAATTGCGAGGACATTTTCATTTTTTGCTCTTTTTTATGCTGTGTTGAGACCATCTGTATCTGTAAGTTGAAGTAAAGTAGGCGGGCTTTACAGGTGATGAATGCAGTGTGG